AACCAGATCCCGAAACCCGCCTCAGGACAACCCGGCTCGGCTGACAGGGACGGTCTGCAGGTGTCAGGTTCTCCGGCTCCAGGCTGTTTGTCCGCACTGCAGCGCTGCCTTCCCCAGCGTCAAATCATCCCCACCAAACACAACATCCGGCCACTACTTTCAAAATAAAGCTCCTCCTCGTCAACGCTTTCCTCGCGTTAATGAACAAAACGGCAGTTCATTTGATAGCAATTTACATCAGTGCATCGGTGTGTGATGCACTTTTATTCACCATAATGGTTACCAATATACCAAAAACAGATGCTAAACCTTTACAGATGGGTTCTGTTAAAATATTCAAGATATTTGTGTTTTCCAGTTCCAGTGATGGATTTTATGAGCAGGTGTGATAGGTGACAAAAGTACACAAACTCTGCACCTAAGTCAAAGTACAGAGATCTGTGTTAAAAAAATACTCCAATAAGTTTAAGTGCTGAATCACTGTCTTTACTCAAGTAAAAGTGAAAAAGTACAGGCTCTGAAGTGTACTCAAAGTAAGAAAGCAAAAAGTATCTCCTTGAAGGACAATTCTACCACCTATTTTTTTGCATATGTAATTGGACCTTCTGCTACATTAATATAATACAACTATGATATTTACATCCCAGGCACAGAAATAAGCTTTAGTAGATTTTCTTAGTGTACATGCTGTGATCAGCAGACCAGTTGCTCTTTGTGGATTTACACAGCTGATCACAAGTAAGCAGATGCTTCACAGCTAACTCAGCTTACTTCTGTTTCTCTCACTAACAGTATATTGTACATTGTCTTTATACTAGACACAGTATAACGATTGAAATTAGTAAATTAATCTAAGGATCATCAGCTTTAAATGAATCTCTATTTCACTTGATGCAACCCAACTCTGATCATGAGCACCACAGCCACTGTGCATCAGTCCAACACCGAGCTTTACTGTGAATTCATCCCATTAACACAAACTGACCTGTTCATCCGCAACAAAACTACCCAGAACTTTCATGCAACATTTGAATAACACAGAGTTAGTATACCGTAGTTTGTTCTGCAGGATGCTTCACAAAGTGAAAAATACATAATTTATCAAAACACATCATATATAGATCCAATATCTTTCTCCAGCTCTGAGTAAACTTAGCTCTCTCTCTTTTCTCCATAATTTAAAAAAACTTAATGTTCTGTTTAGCAAGGCTTCCAATAATAGATAGGGACCATAAACTCACCAGGGAAATATTTACTGAGCTCATTGTAAACTGTGAGCCAAGAGCCATTTTCTCATTATGTCTTTATGCAACCACAGAAGTCACCCCTACACAGGCACACACACACACACACACATATATATATGTAGACAGAACAGAGTGGAAACTGCAAGCCGGACCTTCTTGTCCAACATCAGTGTCTGACCATCATACCCTTATCGATTAAGAATGGGATGATGGCACTCTTGGTAATATATGTTTGAAAGCGGATGGGCAAATATCTTTGGCAATATTCTGCATATACAGTGTATATACAACAATAATAAAGCACTATTTGACACTCTCTGGCTTTATTATTGCCAGGTGTCTCTTGGAAATGAGATGTTAATCTCAATGAGATTTTTAACTGGATAAATAAAGGAGTAATTATAGAGTGATCAGAGTTCTCCTCACATTGGAGTTGGAGTTGATTAAAAGTGCTGATCTTGCATTTTGGTGGCTGTTCACTGGAACCCTCAACAGGAGGTTAAGAGAAATGTCAGTGCAAGTGAAGGCAGCAATCAGTAGGCTGAAAAGCCAAAATACACCTTTCAGAGAAATAGCAAAATGTCTGCAGGGCTAAAGTGACAAAGCTCAGAAACAGAAAAAATTAAGGAAGATGGATTATAAAGTGTACAGGGCTATTTTCCATTCTTAGATTCAGCCAAATGCCGCAAAACTATGGAGAGAAATGTCTGTAACCCTTTTGACACATAATTCTCAAATTTTACAGTGCAAATGGATGATAACCATTTCAAACAAAGCGACTACTGTGGGCTTTGGGAAGTGAACTGTTTTCATTTTTGTCATTACAGGAAAAAAACAGAAAAAAGAATAAAGAAAAAAATGAATATAATCATTAGTTGCAGCTCTACACTCATACCGGGTTTATAGTTTTGTGTGTGAGTATAATTAGTACCCGGAGAATATACATTTCAGTCAATGTCTTGTTGTATAATGTTACATTTATTTTGAAAATCAACCTAACGCTGTGACCATACAGGCTGTTATTTTTACAGTCAGTCTTTTATGTATTATCAAACAGTGGCAGTTGAATGAGCGCTGTTTAATCCCACCCTTCTGCTTTACATATGTATATAATATAGCCAACACACACACACACATAAAGCTGTGTGTGTGTAGGAACACACACAGTAACGAACGATTACGATTCACTGACCCGACATCCTGCCTGTGGCCTCACACTCTCCCACTAACACTGTCATAGACGCACATACACACACACACACACACACACATACAGCCTGATCACACAGTTCATCTGAAAATTTGGTATGCCTTATGTCATTTGATGCTTATGTCAATCCGTTTCTTCTTACCTGAGTATTGTTTTCCGTCCGGACACCAGAGGGCTGAGATAAATCCGTTCCCTCTCCTCCATCTCTCAGCATCAGCACCACATACACGCACACCCCCTTGGCGTCGCCATGTCTAAACTGCAGTGCCACTCAACGCCCCTGCGCGCGGAGTTTTTTAGGGATTCAAATTTTTTCTTAATAATCTTTATTTGAATAGAAGTGGCCAATAAGCTCCCATTCCTAAAGACAAAATATTAGAAGCACTTTAAATGTAACAACCAATTCTTCATCCAAAACTGCAACGTTTGTCAATCAATTTTAGTGTATGTAAATTGTAACCTTGTGGACATTTGTTTATGTGTAGTTCAAGCCATAGAATTTGGGTTAAGCTCTCTGACTGGGACATTGTAACACCTCGATTCTTTTTTTCTTTCCATTTAATTGTCGATTTGTTGGTGTGCTTGGGATCATTGTCCTGTTGCATCACCCAATTTCAGTCCAGCTTAAGTGGTTAGATGCACCTAGAATCATCAAGAGTTTATGGCTGACTCATTGACTGCATACTCTTTTTAGAGAGAAGGGGCTTTCTGTTGGCAACCTTGAACTCCGATGACCTTTAACATTTAACATGCTAACTAAGGCCTATAGAATCTGAGATGTACGGTCTGTTTTTTGAGCATCGTACAGTCTGACTTTGGGGTGAATTTACTGGGACAGCCACGCGCCTGCTCCAGACCAGCAAACTAAAGACCACCAAACTTTTATAGGAGGTGCTCACATTTACTAATGATCATTAAATTAAGTGCATTTACAGGACGTGGCTGGCACCTAACCCTCTTAATTCTTATGGAAGCAGTAAGGTTGTACTTATTTTTTCACAGAACTGCATAAAGCACAGCAAAAACTCTTTTTCACAGGACTGAGCTACAAAGTGAACATATTTCTAGCTAATAAATAAACTATGACTCCCTGATTTGTTTTGATGTGAATGTTGGGCTTGAGGACAGATGAAACAATCACCAACCTGTCATCCATTGCAAGACATCACAACAACTTAACACGTTAGGTTTGGCAGGCTAACCATATCACTAATGGTCATCTCCTACTTTGGAAATAGACTCTTTCCTTTTTCTTTGCAGCAATAAGGAATTATACATTAGGCAGCAAAAGAAAATAGTTCTGGTTGACACTAACTATGGTTCTTATTAATTAGCCTTGCAGGCAGAGCACTTTTTCAAATACCTCATTAGCACTTAGTTGTGAATGTGTGTATCTGGTGGGGTTACAATTTGTTAACGAAATAAGAAAACACATACAGTACTTACTTTGCAGGGGATGATAACATATATATCTGTCTATATCTATCTATCCATACTCACTCTCTCTCTCTCTCACACACACACACACACACTCCAAAACAATCCAATCTTTTTTTTTTAATGCAGATGTTAATTATCGTATGTGTGACTGTTCATGAAATGTTTATCTGGGTAGGTCAGAGTACATATACACATAAGAACATATTACAGTAAGAAAGAATGATGAAGTCATTCTTTCTACTTTTCAAGGGGCATCAACATATTTTCCAGCATATTCCAGGGATTAACAGAGGCCTTATTTGCCAATTTTACATATTGCCATCTGTTGTCTGTTTTCACACACATATAATCATTGGGTGACATCGTACTCTTTATCCACAGGGTTTAATATGATGTCTTCCAATCCTTTGCAGCTTAGGGGAAGGCTTCCCATAAGGTTTGGGAGTGTGTTTATGGAAATTTTTGGCCAGTCTTCCAAAAGCACCTTTGTGAGGTCAGACACTGATGCTGGACGAGAAGGCCTGGCTCACAGTCTCCAGTGTAAACATGGCAAGGTGTTCTTTTGGTTCAGGTCAGAAAGCTGTGCGGTTCAGTCAAGTTCTTCCACACCAGCTTCACTCAGCCATGTCTCCATGGACCTAGTCCTGTGCACTGGTGCACAATCATGTTGAAACAGGAAGGAACCATCCCCTTATTCCCACCCACAAAGTTGCGAGCAGGAAATTTTTGGAAAATGTTTTGGTATGCTGAAATATTAAGAGCTCCTTTCACTGAAACTATGGGGTCCCCCCACCCCCTCAAAAAAAAAAAAAAAACAGACAACAAAAACAAAAACAAATAAATTATCTCCCCTCCTTCTTTACACTTGGTACAAATGTAGTCAGACAAGTAGCAGTCTCCTGGCAATTGAAAACCCAGACCTGTATATCAATTTGGCAAACAGAAAAGTGTGATTCGTCACACATACTTCGCATTATGCTTGTATTGTAAGCCTAGTGACATTTTTTTAAACTGAAAATATGTAAAAAAAAAATATATATATATATAGAATATATAACAAAACAAAAAACAAAGGTCTAAAAGCATTTTTGAACAAATCAGGCTTCTGTGCAAGAATTCTTTATGTGAAAATTCTGGTTTTCTTGCATTTTTACACAAAGATACAGGACAATATGAACATTTAACACTAGATAAGACTGATTAGCACCCAATCATATTGTTGACACACTGCACTGGATAAACATCAGATTTCAACATTTCTGAAAGTGTAAAATGACTACAGTTTGTATCCATTCATACATGTTTACAAATGCCTATGCATGGCTGAATAAGGGATTTGCAAAATTCTCGTTGCCCGTAGCTTCAGGATCGTCATTCTCAGCAAAATCTTCAGGGTCCAGATCAGCCTCAAATATCCGCTGTAACAAGGCGTCCACTGTTCGATATCCTGACACAAAACACACACACTTACATAAATATTGTCTCTAACAAACAAGAGCAAGTTTTTAATTATTGTCTGTCCTCAAATACTTTGCCCATTTTTACATTTCTTCCTGAAGAGAACAAGAATGCCTGATGTAAAATTAGTGACAATCTATTGAGCAAATGTTCAAATTAAAAGTTAGCCAAAAGTGTTCCTTTTTTTTATCTTTTAAAAATCACCTTCTGTCTCCACTTGTCAACTTACTTTTTGAAGCAATTTTAAACATCAGGGACGGTAAGTTTGGTTTTGCTGACTGGCTGCCTCCCAGGTCATTGTCAATAGTTTCCATGGCGTTCACCAAGTTGTCCTCCATCATCTCCCTGGTTAACAAAAAAATACAGATGATCAGGCAGAAATATGAGAGTGATAATCAGAGATATAAAACAGCATGAAAGATGTGCAAGATAATCATAAGAAGCCATGAAGCCAAGAGTCCATTAGACATTGTGCATAACAGAGGTTGAAAATTAGAGCTTAATTTGGATTTGATTCAAAAAGAGAAGATAAAGAGAGAAATATTTTTTAAACATATTTTTAATCATCTTAGAAAAGATCTTTTTAAAGCTTGGTGCTATGAAGAAAGCACCAAATAGTCAAAAGAAACCCCACTAGATTAAGGTAAAGTATTAAACTTTTTAAACACTGAAGCACAGCAGCATCAGCTTCCATTCATCTTCATAATGCAGCGAGTGACAAGTGTCATTGCAAGCCTTTTTGATTTGCCATTTCAGTAAAATTTGCTCAACCCAGAACGTTGAGAGTGCAGAGGACAACGTGACTATAGCGGCAATGATCAACCAAGCTGATCATTTACTTAGTCATTCATTTTCATTTCATGTGCATTTTCTTTGATTTCTTTGGAGAAAAAAAATGAAGTTAAGAGACAGGGACCACATTGTCCAAATGATTTTTAAATAATGTAAATGGACTGATTATTATTTAGTGCTTTTCTACTCTGAGTACTCAAGCGCTCTATACAACATGCCGCATTCACCCATTCACACAAGCACTGTCTTCTACTGCTCACTAACTACCATTCACACACATTCATACTCGCGTCGGAGAGCAACTTCGGGTTAATATCTTGCCCAAGAATATTTGGAATGCAGACTGGGGGGAGCCAGGAATCAAACCATCGCCTCCTGAGCTACAGCCAGGAACCAACAGCAAAATTCTAATTGTATTTTGTGCTACAACAAAAGAACTGGCTAAGAGCAAGTCTAAGCACACCAAAAATAAACTGGATCTAAAAAGATATCAAACAAAATTATGAAACATGCAAGTAGCAAAGTCATACTGGAAATGGTGTAGTGCTATTAATGTTAGGTCCAGTTGACATCGTACCACTATAATGGCACAATGAGCTGATTCACTATCACTAGGTTGACCAGTTCTCTTTTTTGGATGGCCAGTGAGCTGATTATCTTTCAGACACGCAGGTGACAAGTACACCTCTAAAACTAGTCAAAATCCACTGCTTGAAGAAAAACATTGCAGACACCATTTGTGTGTGAGCTGATGACACAACATATACAGGATGTTTAAGCTGTTGTGCAATTGTGCTCAGGTACACTACCAGTCAAAAGTTTGGACACACCTTAGTTAATGGTTTTTCTTTGTTTTCATTGATGTCTTCAATGAGAATCTACAAAACTATGAATGAACACATTTGGAATTATGTAGTAAACAAAAAAGTGAAATAACTCAACATGTTTTATATTTTAGATTCTTTAAAATAGCCACCCTTTCCTTTGATTACTACTTTGCACACTGTTGGCACCTGAAATGGTTTTCCAACACTGTTGAAGGAGTTCCCAGAGATGCTGAGCACCTGTTGGCCCTTTTGCCTTTACTCTGCGGTCCATCTCATCCCAAACTTGATTGGGTTTAGGTCAGGTGACTGTGGAGGCCAGGCCATCTGGTGCAGCACTCCATCACTCTCCTTCCTGGTCAAATAGCCCTCACATAGCCTGGAGGTGTGTTTGGGATTATTGTGCTGTTGAAAAATAAATGAACGCAAACCGGATGGGACTGCATGTCGCTGAAGGATGCTGTGGTAGCCATACTGGTTCAGTGTGCCTTCAATTTTGAATAAATCCCCAACAGTGTCACCAAAAGCGTGCCCCCACACCATCACACCTCCTGCTCAATGCTTCACAGTGAGAACCATCAGTTTACCTTTTCTGCATCAAACAAAGACACAGCAGGTGGAACCAAAGATCTCAAATTTGGACTGATCAGACCAAAGCACAGATTTCCACTGGTCTAATGGTCCATGTGTTTTATTGGCCCAAATAAATGACTCCTGCTTGTTGCTTTTCCATAGTTGTGGTTTCTTAGCAGCTATTTGAACATAAAAGCCTGATTCAAACATATGTGTCTGCTACTGGAACTCTGTGTGGCTTTTATCTGGGATCCAATTTGAGGTGCGCTGTTAACTTGTGATTTCTGAGGTTAGTGACTTGGACGAATTTATCCGCAACAGCAGAGGGGACTCGGGTGGTCTTCCTTCTATGTTGAATGAGAAGGTGTGTCCAAATTTTTGACTGGTAGTATACATCACTTAAAAAAAAGATTGCTGTGTTTCTCGCCTTTAGTCAGCAGAACTGCTAGGAAACTTGAAAGACTCCATAATTAGAAGCCCTAGTCCTCATGCATACTTTGACATGTGTGAGAGGACAGCAGTCCTGCTGCATTATCAGATTGAACTGATTGGTGTGGCAGTGTACAGAGTATTTTTTGCCAGCAACTCAGCATTTTTGCAGTATTTCTCTCAACCCCCCTAAGAGAACCATAGTCCTAGATGAAGTGTGTGGCAGGAGGAGCCCAGTGTCAGGGAAAACAAGGTGGAACCTTCAAACTCACACCGTCCACACGGTGTTTCAACATACAGAGACACTGAATTGGTGTTTTGAAAACATTTGGAATGACAAGCCTTGAAACAATGGGTCAGTTCAAATTGCCTGACAGAATCAAGATTGGGTAGGATGCTGTGGACTCAGTAGCTGCACAGTAATGTGACATATTGATGGAGCAGTCAAAGGCTCGCTTTGAGAAAGTCCCGCACTTAATGCCATTTGTTGATTCCCAGCTGTTTAAGGAAAGTTTCTGCCACACAATATCTGTCTCTCTCTTTCTCTCACTCTTTGCTAATAGTAGAACATTATTATTCTTAATCAAATATATCACCAAAGTACAAGTCTGATTGATATGTTAAATGTAGTTGAGGAGTGAAAACGACTGTTATAGTATATAGTAATAGTTAGCAATAACACACAAAAGAAGAAAATGTTGTGAGGTGATTTTGAAGTTTAAAGTTAAATCCTGTGCTACATGATGTATGTGGAAAAGTCAGACAGCTAGAGAGGATGATGAGGTGTGGCTGCACACTGGGTGGTTAGATGTTAGTCATGTGATTGGACGTCCAATCCAGCCGGTGTGTGTTTGAAGGTTGCACCTTGTTTGGTCACAGCTGACTATCATCTCTTAGTTTGCGACCTTCCTCCAATTTGTTTGGCTCTTCACATATTGCACGTGTTATATTGAAATGGACTGTGTGACAAAACAAATCACACCCATCAATGCTATTTTGCCCCAATTTGTAAATCTGTTTCAAGTGTTGCTATAACAAGGTGGTGCTGTCACGTCCTATCAGGGATGTGACAGTGCAGGTATTGGGGTTGTGAATTATATGTGTTAGCCCAGCCACTCAATATGACCACCACACACCACTCTCTGCAAGGTAACATACTGTGCCACAGCAAGCTCCAGTTCTTCAATCTTCCTCTCCAAAGATGTCTGCAAGTCACTTTTATCCACAGAGTACTCCACAAAGAACGCCTCAAGGACAAACGCCACGAAGATACTGAAAGACAAGAACAATCGCATGCAACATTTAGCAGTTCTTAACCAAATTGTATTACTGCATGTACTCAGAACAACCACTTTATCAGTTTAATATTGAAGACATTTTTCTGAGGCAGAACCGGGACCATTTATATTTCCATGATATCAAAGAACATTTTAGGATTCTAATTTATGATTTTTTAAAATATCACAAGCTTTTTCTTATATCATGCTTGTAAATGCTGGGAAAACCAAGGAGTTGGTGGTGGACTTCCGGGGACGCAGACCCCCCCACACTGACACCGGTGAACATCCAGGGAGTGGACATTGAGATAGTGGACTCTTATAGGTACCTGGGTGTTCACCTGAATAATAAACTGGACTGGAGTCACAACACTGATGCTCTTTACAGGAAGGGTCAGAGCAGACTCTACCTGCTGAGGCGGCTGAGGTCATTTGGAGTCCAGGGAGCGCTTTTAAAGACCTATGACTCTGGTGGCATCTGTCATTTTTTACAGTGTTGTATGTTGGAGCAGCAGTTTATCGGCAGCTGAGAGGAAGAGGTTGGGTAAACTCATCAGGAAGGCCAGCTCTGTTCTGGGATGCACCCTGGACCCAGTGCAGTGGTGGAGACAGGAGGACTCTGGCAAAATAACATCTCTGATGGACAGAGTCTCCCACCCCATGCATGTAAATGTTGCTGAACTGCAGAGCTGCTTCAGTGACAGACTGCTGCGTCCTCGATGCATGAAGGAGCGTTCCGCAGGTCCTTCCTCCCTGCAGCTGTCAGACTGTACAATCAACACTGCTCCCAACAATCATAGATGTTTATATCTGCGCTGTAACTGCAATAATTTAATCAAATGATTTGCACTACAACCTGGTTTGCCTCTTATCTGTAGTTATCCATCCATCCATCCATCCATCTTCATCCGCTTTATCCGAGGCCGGGTCGCGGGGGCAGAAGCCTAAGCAGAGAGGCCCAGACCTCCCTCTCCCCAGCCAACACCTCCAGCTTATCCGGGGGAATACCAAGGCGTTCCCAGGCCAGCCGAGAGATATAATCTCTCCAGCGTGTCCTGGGTCTGCCCCAGGGCCTCCTCCCGGTGGGACATGCCCGGAACACCTCACCCAGGAGGCGCCCAGGGGGCATCCTTGTCAGATGCCCGAACCACCTCAGCTGGCTCCTTTCGATGTGGAGCAGCAGCTGCTCTACTCTGAGCCCCTCCCGGATGCCGAACTTCTCACCCTATCTCTAAGGAGAGGCCAGCCACCCTTCGGAGGAAGCTCATTTCTGCCACTTGTATCCGCGATCTCGTTCTTTCGGTCACTACCCACAGCTCATGGCCATAGGTGAGGGTAGGGACGTAGATCGACCGGTAAATTGAGAGCTTCGCTTTTACACTCAGCTCCCTCTTCACCACGACGGACCGGTGCAGCGTCCGCATTACTGCAGCTGCAGCCCCAATCCGTCTGTCGATCTCCGGCTCCCTTCTCCCATCACTCGCGAACAAGACCCCGAGATACTTGAACTCCTCCACTTGGGGCAGGAACTCATCCCCGACCCGGAGTGGGCACTCCACCCTTTTCCGGCTGAGAACCATGGCCTCAGATTTGGAGGTGCTGATCCTCATTCCCGCTGCTTCACACTCGGCTGCGAACCGTTCCACTGCGAGCTGGAGGCCCTCACCCGATGAAGCCAACAGAACCACATCATCTGCAAAAATCAGAGATGAGATTCTGAGGCCACCAAAGCGAAAGCCCTCCGCCACTTGTCTGCGCCTAGAAATCCTGTCCATAAAAATTATGAACAGAACCGGAGACAAAGGGCAGCCCTGGCGGAGCCCATCACCCACCGGGAACGAGTCCGACTTATTGCCGGCAATGCGAACCAAGCTCTTGCAACGGTTGTATAGGGATCGAATGGCCCGTAGCAATGGGCCAGACACCCCATATTTCCGCAACACCTCCCACAGGACACCCCGAGGGACACGGTCGAATGCCTTCTCCAAGTCCACAAAACACATGTAGACTGGTTGGGCAAACTCCCATGCACCCTCAAGTATCCTGGAGAGGATAAAGAGCTGGTCCAGTTTTCTGCGACCAGGACGAAAACTGCATTGTTCCTCCTGTATCCAAGGTTCGACTAGCGGACGAACTCTCCTTTCCAGCACCCTGGCATAGACTTTCCCAGGGAGGCTGAGGAGTGTGATCCCCCTGTAGTTGGAACACACCCTCCGGTCCCCCTTCTTAAAGATGGGGACCACCACCCCGGTCTGCCAGTCCAGGGGTACTGCCCCTGATCTCCACGCAACATTGCAGAGGCGTGTCAACCAGGACAGCCCTACAACGTCCAGAGCCTGTATGTATGATCTGTATGATTTCATCAGTCATCACAAACTAAAGTTTGTCCTCTTAATCTTTGCCCCTTGTTGCTTTGACGGCATAAAAATCCTCATAAACTACAGATAAAATTAACTAAATTATCTATAGTTAATTTTATTTAATTTAATAACTGTACAGTACTCTGTTTATAGTAACTATTGTCTTTAATGTAATGTTTCTGTTCTGTGTCCTGTTTGTTTGTATATGTGTCTTTCTGGCTGCTGTTACAACCAAATTTCCCCTTGTGGGACAATTAAAGGATTATTCTGTTCTACCAAAAAAGTCACACAAAATCTAAAACGTTGTGTATTATATATGATACACACATCCCACTTTGAAAACCCTCACATTGATACATTAATCCTGTAAGCCTTTACACTGATCATATTCTACTTTGGGGAATTTCAACACAAATGAAACAGTGTTTTGCTAAACCTTTTCCTTACTTTATGGCACTGACACTGCTACAATAGTGGCCACTATTAATAAACATGGCTACTGTTTAAATAAAGGTGTCAGAGTAGGCCGAGTTATTAGCGTAAGATAAAAGGTGAGGTTTAAAGGTGGATAGGAGGATAAAAAGGTGGTTTAAATGGAGTTTTTCACTTAAAGAGAAAGGAGCTAAAATGGATATCTGAAGGACTGCAACTAATGTAATTAATATTTTTGAACTGTGAATCAGTGAGTTGCCTACTTCTAGGACTCTGTTTGAGGGGGAAACTCTACTTTTATAGAGTTCTATGATAAAACACCCAGTGCAACTCACCTTCAAGCATCTAGTGGTTAAAATGTGTCAGACGTAAATATAAATAATTATACATATTCTTCTAGATTATGGGAACAGCAGGACTTGTTTTTGTGGCTGACACCACACCAGTGATGAAAGTACGACACCATTAGCCTTACTTGAGAATGACGATGACGACTATGACGTGGAAGAGGACAAAAAAGATCCTGGCCGAAATGTGGGTGACTGTGGCAAAGCCGCTGCTGAGAAGTGGAGTCTTGTTAAGAAATGATAACACAAACAGGAATCAAACCTGGCAACGCAATTATTCTCAAACATTTCATAAATGCAGATGATTTTATTTGCAGTAGAATGAAAGTCACTGAGAAAAAAAAGGGGGGGGGGAGTTTTTGTAGTTTTGAAGATGTCTTAAAAATTCAAATCGCTGCTGGTAACTGAAAACGAGATTAAACACAGAAAATGCTGAGACATTCAGCTAAAGGATATCATGCCATTGGTTGACCACGGTAAGCTCAACCAGCAGGATGAAGGAGGAGACCACATCATTGAAGTTATTCTTGCAGTAGTTGAGCTTTGCAAAGTCTGTTCCATTCAGCAGAGGATTACCACAATATGCCTTTGCTGGATCGGTGGAGCTCTGTTCATAAAACGTCACCTTCCCTTTAAAGAGCTCCATCCCCACCATGGCAAAAATGTAGTACACCACCTGTGGAGGAACACCACAACAGACAGAACCATCTTCACAAACATAATGTCAGCTTCAGTTTTCAGACCCCTCAGCAGGTTGAGGCTCTGCATAATGCAGCGTTTGTAGGTTGGCTGGTCCTCACTATGTTTTAGAGCAGGTGTGGGCAACTCCAGGCCTCGAGGGCAGGTCTCCTGAAGGTTTTAGATGTGTCCTTGATATAAAACAGCTGATTCAAAGGGCTAAATTAACAACATGTCTTGAAGTTCTCCAGAGGCCTGGTAATGAACTAATCATTTGATTCAGGTGTGATGACCCAGGGTGAGATCTAAAGCCTGCCCGACACTGGCCCTCGAGGCCTGGAGTTGCCCATCCCTGTTTTAGAGTGAAGTCTCTACTGAAGGTTGCCCTCATATTGGTAATGGATCTTTTAAGACAGAACCATCATTAGGGCGGCTAACATCAGCTGTGCTTTGTTTTAGTGTTTGTTAACAAATGCTACTATGACAAACCAGCCTGCTGTCACAAACTCACAATGATAAGCTGTCCAAATGTGAGGATTGCTGGTCCAATCCTGATCAGGGTGTTGATGATTGTACGAAACCTAGCAAGAAAATAGACCTCACTGTTAGTAAAGCAACATGCTTATGCCTTCCTACTGTGACATCCATTTTTCATTTGATGCATCTAAGGATTACTGCAGGATCACCACAAATACAGATGATTTTTATACAAGGATAAATAAATGAATAAGAAATGTAGTTAAACCTTTTGATGCTGTCCACCACCCGTATCAGTCTGAGGACTCGTAGAATGAAAACAATGTCCAAGATTTGTCGGCTGGAGAAATGACTCGCTATAATGCAAACGGAATTAACAAATTAATGAATTAACAAAGACCAATAGCTTGTATCATCCTGTGTTTTAAAATAGTTATTGTGATTGACAGTGACATGAACACTCAAAGTAAACATTCAAAGATGTATCTAAAATGTGAGTAATTAAGTTTTGTTGAATTGTACTATCAACAGTTCAGAGACCAGAACAGCAGGAGCTTTAAAGGCTAACTCATGAAATCCTTTTTGGGGGGAAATTGAGCATTTATACTTTAGTATTTTAGAACTCAATTTTCAAAACTGTTTAAAAAAACAACAACAACAAAAAACAACAACAAACTTGTGAATTTGCATATTCAAAGTTTTAATTTGTATTATATTAGTTAGTCTGCATTTTTTGTTTGTTTGTTTTGTTTGGTTAAAATTGTACTGCACAATTAATGTAGTTGTAGTAGTTGATGACGCTACCATGGCGAAATTTGCCTTTATAGCTACACCGTGTAATTTGTTATTGTTGTAGTTGCATGTTTGTTTTCAGTTCAGTGATTTTCTGCCTCTGTTCCCCGACTCCATGCTGGTGTGTACATTCAAAGTGGTGAAACAGATTGCATTAAACAAACAAACAAACAAACAAACAAACAAAAAGTGATGTGCCAGCCAGATGTAAATTTGGCAAGGGTTAAGTTTGACCTTGATTTTGACCCTGTTGGAACAAAGCTTAACATTAATTAGAAACGCTTACATGACTTCATCACAGAGTTTACGATGGTGGCAATAAGAGCAGAGATGACAATGACTGTGTCAAACCTGAAGACAGAAAACAGAAATCAAAAAAAATTCAAACTTTAATTTAGGCAGAAATGCTATGAACGAGGATGCTGAAAACAAAACCCTTTTTTCTTATGGCGTCAGTCTGACACCACCAACGTGTCAAAAACACAAATATACCATGAATGTAAATAAAACGACCATTTTTCTCAGCATCAGTTAAGTGTGAGAAAATCTTCACGTTGTAAAAGAATCAAAAGATTTTATCTTTTGTATTCTTATCCAAGTATTTCAAATTTAAGGAACATTAAAACTAACAAGCACATGCAGGAGGCTGCAGAGTGTGGAAGCAAACAGAACAAGAAACCATTTGAGCCTAACAAGCAGCTTTCATTCATGGACTGGATCCAGGTCTAGCAATTTATCCAGAAAATATACAAACACAATACTGAATATTTTTTTGACGGAAGTTATCGCAGCTACACTGCTCAGTAGCAAATGTAACACTACTGTAAAAAAGAAATGATAGCATAAGAAACAATGAAGACAAAAACTATTCCAAAAGCTGCAGCAAGAAACCTTCAGAAGGATCAGAGCTTAAAACCCCAGTGGCAACTTTATTAGGTGCACCAAGACGGATCTAAAGACAAACCTATTGTCATTCTACACACACACACACAATAATATCATACCCAATAAAGTGGCCACTAAGTGCAAAAAGTCATGAAAATGAGGCAATTAACTGGCAAATACAGTGAGGAACATAAGTATTTGAACACCCTGCGATTTTGCAAGTTCTCCCACTTAGAAATCATGGAGGGGTTTGACATTCACATTGTAGGTACATTCCCACTGTGAGAGACAGCACTTAGAAACAATTCAGGAAATCACATTGTATGATTTTTAAAGAACTTATTTGTATTGCACTGCTGCACATAAGTATTTGAACACCAGGCAATCAGCAAGAATTCCGGCTCTCAAAGACCTGTTGCTATGCCTTTAAAAAGTCCACCTCTACTCCACTTATTAATCTAAATTAGTAACACCTGTCTGAGCTCTTTAAAGACACCTGTCCACCCCACAGTCAGTCAGACTCCAACTACTACCATGGGCAAGACCAAAGAGCTGAAATGCTTATGTGTAACAGTGTAATACAAATAAATTATTTAAAAAAAACAAAAAACAATGTGTTTTCCTGAATTGGTTTTTAAATGCTGTCTCTCACAGTGGCACTACAATGTGAATTTCAAACCCCGCCATGATTTCTAATTGGGAGAACTTGAGTGGAGTGTTCAAATACTGATGTTCCTCACTGTAATATAAACTAAATTTAACTGAAAAAAGTTGGTTTTTTGTTTTGTTTTTTAAATAGAACATTTTTGTACATTGTACCATTTTACCATGTTTTGTTTTGCGCTTTTCTTTTCAGTTTAGTTGTGAGTGGATCTGCCTGCTTTAGGTTTATCAATTACATCAAAAACTAATATTTTCACTTTTTCTGATTAAACCAAACTGAAGTTCATTTGAAGTTCAGAAAAGGTCTACAAATGTGCGCGCATTTGTGGATTGAATTCAATGATGGTGATTTTCAATATAGAAATTTCCCTTGTGTACAAAGACTTTTCAGTCTGTCCAATTCTTGTTGTTCTTAAATAACAAATTGTCACACTGTCCTTTACACACTATTCAAACACAATCAGATTTCCCAGTGTCATCACTTGAAGTTGTCTTTGTAGAATTTCTATTAAACTTTAAGCTTTATATAACTTGCATAACCCAAGTAAGCCAGTTGCTGGTTTTTGTTATATATTATTATTTTTTGTTTTATTATTATATTTCTCATTATTGAGCACTTGTTTAGTTTTACCCTTTATCCTATGTTCGACAACATATTTTGTTTTTATGTCTTGATGCATTCTCAATCATCCAGGAAAGTAAATCTCCAAAAGTTAATTCTGTTCATCTGGACGTAGCGTTTCGTGGGAGAAATGTTTCGTCACTCATCCAAGTGACGACTGAAGAAGTCACTTGGATGAGTGACGAAACGTTTCTCCCACCCCATATGGAAAAGAAATAGTAAAAACATATATGATTTACTCATGAAAGTGGCCACTTTCTCATTACTTTCATATTTTTTTTTAGTAAGTATACAAAACATACAAGTTTCATTATATAATTTTTCAAGGGATCTTATGTGTTTTCACTCTTGTATGCTTTTCATACAAGTTTCATACAAGACAGATAAAAACTTTATAAGATTTATACACATCTTTTCCATATGGGACAAAACGCTACGTCCAGATGAACAGAATCAACTTTTGGAGATATTTTGTTTTTACTTTTGACATTAAACTAAGCTCCATCATTAGGAAAAGTTCACTTCCCAAAGCTTAAAAGAGTAGATAAACAACCCGCTGAGCATCAATGACTTGGTCGAAGCACTTGAAGGCGTATGAAGGTAAAAGAAGCGGCTGATAATGTAAAAGAAACATTAAATCATGTCACATACCTTGTACTTATAATCTGGGATGTAGATAAGCTGTGTGAAATTCATGCAACACAACTTGTTGATCTTAGATTTGATTCACTTAAATACTTCCATTACTTGTTATATTAAAAAATACTCAAAAATACTATACACATATTTTAAGAAATTAAACATTTGACATAACACACAAATACAGTACATGTTAATTTATAAATGTCTACGTAAGGTTTTTGTGTATTAAGCAAGCAGACTTGGATTACACTGTTGGTTTTGATCTGCACAGTGGATTTTTTTTGTTTTTTTAAACCATCTGCCTCACTGAAAAAGCTTGATCACACCCATGAATAGATGGTGCTGTGTAATGTCTGGATCTCTGATTCCACATGAACACCTGTTAAAATGTACCTTAAGCTGTCTGTAGATAAATCAGTACTGGGGATTGGTGAGTAAAGACAAAGTGTCAAAAGCACATTAATGACATTATAATGTTATACACTTGTTCTCACGGCATGTTCTCACCAGTTCCAAAAACTGTGTTTGGAGAAGAACACTCTGGGCTCAAACACATACAGCTTCAGCAGAATCTCCAGAATATACAGAGCCAGAAAAACCCACTCTGAATTCGCAATCATTGGATTCTCCTCATCAAGACCGATGAAAACAGCATTCACCAGTATGATCAGGTCATATACCATAACAAAGGCCCTGGAAAAGAACACATATAGTTCTGTGTTTGTAACTACTTACATCAAAATCAGAGGAAAAAAAAAAGAAGGTTTCAAAGTTGAATTTGTATCTTACCGGTGTTGGACCAGTTGGCATAGGAGTTTGCTGGGGGCTGACTGGTAGAGGGAAGGGCACAAACTTTGAAGTGGATGAGGTCTTGACTTAATTGTTATTATTTCAATATTCAAGAGGTCAGCAAGCTGGACAAATGCCACCTTACCTGTAAAATAATCATCCTAGAATTGTAATCAAAAACGTTACAAAGATATAAAAACTTAAACTTAGGTCTATTTTAAATGAATCATCTAATGCAGGGGTCGGCAACCCTGGGCACGCATGCCAGCTCACGCGAAGGGTTAACTCAGACCTTCCCAAAGTGTGGGGCCTGCCCCCTAGGGGGGGCGCAGAGCCATTGCGGGGGGGGGGGGGGGGGCATGAAGAGGGGGAAAAAAAAACCAACAACAACACTTGGACACTGCTAGCATGAGGCGCCCACAAACGCAAAGCAGGAGATGAAGCATCGCTGAATATGTTTCCAAACCAACTTCATTCTAAGCCAAAGACTAGAAAATATGGTGAAGCATGTCTTCCCTTTGGTTTCACCTGCACAAGTGCCGAGGTAGGTCTCCCTGCAGGACTGGTTTTCCCTTCGTCAGGAGCACAGCTGGGCTCTTCAAATCACGGACAAACAGTATCCCACATTCTTGATTTTTAGTTCACAAACACTTGTTGTAATGACTAACTACTCCTGACATGTTGGAGATGTTTGCTCTTTATACAGTAAAGTTACAGCGGGATATAAATAATATCAGGCTGATCCTGCCAGGATTTGTTCCCCCAGTTCAAATCAGGGACAAACAGGATCTCACAGCTGTTTATGTTTTTAAACCTATTTTGCACAGAGAGGCGCACAGCTGACGTGAAAAAAGGCACATACCATAAACGTTGCGTGAAGAACTCTGTATTCCTCGTCCACAGGTAAACGGAAAAAAAAGAGTTTAAAAAAAAATTTTTTTTCGGTGATTCGAAACGCCGTTTACGTGTGAACGGAGCAGATGCGTTTTCAAAAATACCCGTGTAGGTGCGGACGTAGCGTAAAAGAGTTAGTAGTTTATTTTCTTACTACCTACAGATCACTAAATGTTTGAGGTGTGAAATAAACCGCAATTGAGCAAAATATGGGTGTGTGTGTGTGTGTGTGTGTGTGCGCGCGCACACTGTGAGGGGGGGCGCGAACATTTTTCTGTAAAACAAAGGGGGGCCCAGCGGAAAAAGTTTGGGAACCACTGGGTTAACTGATGGCACGACCATAGCTGGGCCCGGTGGGCCGATGGTGATTTTTCGTTTTTATGGGCCGATGCTTTTTTGTTTTTTTGTTCTTTTTGTAACAGCATGAACAATGAAAGGTGGTGGATTGGTCAGATGCTGGCCGATGCGTAAAAATAACTCAGTTGTTTGGTGGTGGCTATGGCGGAGCTTCCACAGAGGCCAGCAGGTGGATGAGGGAAAGGGGAGGCAGGAGAAGGAGAGACCCGAGGCGGCCGCCGGTCCGAGTGTCAGGTGAACTGAACTTCAGGTAAGACGGTATGACCTGCAGTCTATCTGGGTCAGATATAAACCAAGTTTAGGTGGAGTTTATTTTCGTTATGCTGAATTTTTACAGTCAGTTACAATAACTCGTACAGCGTACTAGCTAGCATGACAGAGTTTCTATACAGCTGGGCGGGTGCTATGATGTTACTGATAGTGAATTTTATTTTATTCATAAAGGTTAGTTAGTAGAGTTGCCAACAGTCCCTTAAAAATGGAATGGTCCCTCGTTCATTGAAAATATTACGCATTTCATATTGAGCTGAGAAGGAACACAGTTTGTCCCGTACTTCAGCTACAATGGAAAAAGACTCAAAGCTGGAGTTATTCTGTGTGTTTACGCTGTCAGCGGTTTCTTCTTCTCTCATTCTCTCACCCTCCCTCTCCTGTTTCTACTTCAATCATGAAACTGATCCATGATCAGCTGATCGGCTTTTCTCTCTTGTTTGTTTATCACTTTGTGCCAGAAAGAGGAAACCAGCGGATGTCGCGCTAAACAACAGCAGCACTTTTAAACTTGATCAGCTGTTGTTAGAATTAATTTCATATTAGTTTCTAGTATCAGCTGATGTTTGCTGGAGCCACAGCTGTAAAGCTGCTGGTCATGATATGGTTTGGTTATCTGGTGAGATGGAAACATGAAGATGAAATCAGGAGATGTCCTTACTGAACCATCAGAGCTGAACAGGTGATGGAGAAACAGGTTTAACTTTTAGGTGACATGAATGAGTTGAAGGGAAGTTATGAACTGTTTCTGAGAGACAAATAACACCAGGATCCTTTTCTATGTAGCTGACAGCTGGTAACTGTGCAGGGGCGGGTCTAGCAAAGTGTTGCCGGGGGGGGGGGGGGGAGGCATTAACAGGGAGAGGTGGGAACAAAGAAATACTTTTCTTTCTTATTCTCATTTCAGATGTCTCGCTTTTAATAAATAATTATCTGAATCTTACAACCAAAGTTTTTATCTGATATAAAATGTATAGAAATCATACCAATGAGACAGTACATCACTGTCACAACAGCGTTTGTTTTCATTCAAAGGCTTTATGGCTTTTCCTATAATACCTGGTGGGCTGGTCTCTAGTCAAAATGCCCGGGCTGATTTTTTTGTCCCAGTCCAGCCCTGGGCACGACACGCAGGGAATTAATTTGAGCAGGTGCATTTAAAAAAAAAAAATGGCCGGGCCAGCGGTGTACATCACAAATTAGCTCGCATAGACACATTAGTTGTGCTGCTTCTTAATGATGGTATCTTAGCTAACAACCCCAACTACCAGATTCAACTTGTAATTGGCTAAAAATCACTTTGCCTACTGGTGAGAGGGACGTTGCTAGCTGGCAGTTTTTTCGAGCAATGTTGAAATTTCCACTTTCCAACACTTCAAATGCTTCAGGAGCTGTCTGCTCAGTGCAGCATCAGCACCACGGAAATCCGTAGACTCGAGACAGAATTCACAATGCGTTTTCGGGACTTGCAGGTGTATGGACCAATGTTTTCTTTTCTGATCAAACCAGAAAGCTTTAATGAGCAGCTGGATTTGTCTTGCATTAACTGGCTGGACACAGAGGACATCGAAATGCAGCTGATTGAACTGAAAAGCTCGAGTCTGTGGGGGTCAAAGTTTGCAGAACTACAGACGCAGCTGGAATCCACAGCTGTGCGTGTTCATGGAGCTGCATGTTCACCTGCTGGACAAGTTTAAATGTCTTCAGAACATTGCAGAGGCCTTATTGACAGTATTTGGCTCTGCATATCAGTGTGAGCATATTTTCTCTGACATGAGTGTCCTCAGGTAGCCGTCTGAATGCTGGACACTCGGAGACCTGTGTCTCTGAGTGGGAGACCAGAGATCATATTAACATGTGTGTCTCTGTATTAACAAACATGCCATATTGGCCCAGTTTATTTTTCTTATTACTGTTGTGAGGAGACCATAAATAGCATTTGCATTTTCTGTTGTACAGTTCATTTGCTGTTATGGATAAAAAGTCTTTTTTTGTTTCAAAATAGCTGATAACTATTCGCTGACAGCTGCCAACATCTGTGAACAAATATAATTCTATAAAGTGGTTCTATATAGTCAGTGTTGGGGAGTAACGGAATACATGTACCGCCGTTACGTATTTAGAATACAAAATATGAGTAACTGTATTCCGTTACAGTTACCGTTTAAAAAGGTGGTATTCAGAATACAGTTACTTTGTTGAAATAAATGGATTACACAGCGGTACTTTCCTGTTTCATTTTGTCGCGGGTCAGGACTGTTTGGGTTTTGTTTGACAGCTACGTTCTGTTGTTCCAGGCGGCAGCGCTACAGTTGCCATGGTTACAGGGCGACGCTCTCTCTCTCTCTGCGACTGTGTGTTTCCTGGGTGAGAGAGCGCCTTTTCGTTGTTGTTGTTGTTGTTGTTGTGCTAAGCTAACAGGCAGAATGCTACAAGCATAGCTCTAAAGAATGTAGCATCATGGGCAGTGTAGTCCGTGTTGCAGGGAGAATGGACTGCCATACACGTTATGGGTCTGTGAGCGCTAGGAGGGAGAAAAAGGGGAGTGGAAAGGTACGAGCAGTCATCGAGCAAAAACGGGAGCTGGAAGCATGTAAATATAATAATAACCACTGCAGCCAAGAAGAGTGCCTGACGAGCCCAGTTGTAAGTAAGGTATTAAGACTCGACTGTACACTGTGTTCGTGTTTTCCTCCGAAAACAATAAGTTCCGTTGGAGCAGTCTTTCAACGTCTCTCTCTGTCTGTCGCAAGAAAAGTTGACCCACACAACAAAGTAAAGCTACGAGCCGCCGTATTAGTCAGAGGTCCCTTTACTACAGTTCGGAGTCGCGGACCTTCAGTAATAGTAATAAATCACACAACAATAGCACATTCACGTTGTTGTAAAAAGCACGATAATATATTAAGTAATCCAAAGTATTCAGAATACGTTACTGTCATTGAGTAACGTAACGGAATACGTTACAGAATACATTTTGGGGCATGTAATCTGTAATGGAATACATTTTAAAAGTAACCTTCCCAACACTGTATATAGTGTGTAACTGTTAATATAGAGCGTTATTACATTTATTGCTAATGCAATCATATGGCACATTGACTTCTGAGGAAATATTATATGGCACTCATGATCAGAAAGGTTGCCGACCCCTGACCTAATGTAACAACCTTCTGTTTGTTAAATGCAGGAATTGCAGTACGCACCGCAAAACTGTTTTCATTTTTCCTTCGAGTATATAGCAGCATTTTTGGAAATTTTTATCCCCTGTGCAAGACTGAAAAATGAAGACAAAATGCCAAAAACTGAAGTAACTAACTGCCACTTGAGGCTTGCTCTGTAAGCAAGACTCCCATGTGAAAATGCAAAGTTTTATAGTTTTAGAAAGGATGTCTAAAGCATACCACAAAAATGGTTTTCACAGTGAGGAAGAAGAAAACAGAAACAGCAAATTCATGCTATTGCTCAAGTGCAAAGTCACACACACTGCGTGTTCATAAAGCAGAGGTTAAAAACCAAGAGTTGTGGTTTAAAAAAATAATAATAATAAAATAAAATAAAAACCTGCATAAGAGGCAGTAGTAAATAACTTGATAGAGACAAAATCATTAAAGGAATTCAGGGATAACAACCACACACAGGGAAATATGTATAACTGTAAAGATCAATTAGATTTTTTTTTTTACTTGTTGGGTTGTATAACATCAGATGTTGTGGTTGGTGGAAAAATAGAAATGCTCAATGATAATGCATTTTGACTTCCTTCATGTGGAAGATGAGTGTGAAGACACTGACTCAGCAGAGTATGCAGAGCTGAATGATACTGGACATCTGAACAATGCCTCAGCTTCAAGGATTAGACTGGACTGGTGACAATTTAATGGCCTTTAGGTAGATTTAGGGCATGCAGGCTGTACTCAGTTTACACATGAACACGCAAAACTGTGAGACAACCTGGTCACCTACGGCTCTAAGCAATTAAAATGCATGTACATTTAATCTTATTCATAACCTTACCCTTATTCCAAAGCAAATACAAAATGTTGAGATATTTGTGTAGAATAATAGAAGATGTAATGCAGTTCCATAGTTTATCTGTGACATGCAATCATATTCAGTCGTACAGAGCCAGTTTGGCCTTGAAATGTTGCTAAAATGTAAAGAAGGCAGCATTGCACAGCAGCTTTGTTCATTTGTGCTGAATATTACACTCTTCTCATAGCTTCTTAGCTGTGGATCTGGGAACAAACGAACTATTTTGCCAAGTTGCATAGTGACGCACCAGGAGTTTATTAAAAGCTAGACAGAAATTTTACACTTTGCAATGCCTACAACATTATTGACTTTGCCTACTTGCTTAAATTACAATTTCAGGGGCATTAACCACGAGTTTAATGTTTGTCTTTGTGTTTCTTACTCTTTAAAGGTCACAAATAGTTATTTCAAACTATAGATGACCTTTTAACATTTTTACATGCATACTTTCATCATGTCATTCTCATTATGCCTTTCTCTTCCAACACTGCTCTCTCCTCTTCCTCCTCATCTCCAACCTCATCTCCTTAAATTAAGTCAAAGCTCTAACACATGAAAATGTACATAAATATGCTCAGTTACTCTCCATATTGTCACAATTACTTGTCAGCTGACTAGACATGTGACATGCAGATTAAACAGCTGACAACAAACCGGCTAAAGAAAAATAAATCTCATCCCTTCCATCTTGGGTACTTATAAAGAACTTTACTAAACTCAACTTCCCTAAACGTGTTTTGGATTTAAGGTGTGTATGTTGGTTTGGATATCACTCACCAATGGCCCCTTGGTTCTTGTCATCAGAGACGCTCCATAGCAGCTCTCTGTGAGCATTACTAAGGTTGGGTTGGACCAGTCGGACCAGTTGGTTCCAGCTGGCCTGGGTCACCACTGGCTCGCCGCCCTCCTCCCTTTGCTCCTGTAGGACACCAAATGCTCGCACCATCTTGTGCCTCTTAGCTCTCACTAGCTGCCGTACCTCTTCCTGTTGGAAATGATCATTTTCTTCTTAAATGACATGGAATGTGCAAAGGAAATCTACTGTATTCACAAAAGATGTGACATAAATTTATAGAAAAATAAGTACGTTTAATAAATAATTCCAAGATCCAGGTGCTGCTGTGACAAAGGAACTTTCGGGATACATCTTATTTGATTGAATTGACAAATATTAATCAGATCTGCTTGCCACTTTATATAAGTTGATATAATCTTACATGGCATATAGAGTATTTTGCAAAACCCTTTGCACAGCTTCTCAGGAGGTATGGAAAGTCATTGACTAATCAGACGTTTGGCGGTCAATCCCTGGCTGCTTCAGTCTGCATGTCAAAATACCTTTAGTCAAGATACTGAACCCCAAGTTGTTCTCTGATGTATACATCAGAGTGGCAATGCTTGTGTGAATGTTGCGTGATTTTGTACAATTCTAACGATCCTAAAAGTCAATATTGGCTCCAACGTCCTTTATTCTTTACCACGGCCTGATATTTCCTAGGCAAGCTTCCTTGTAGCTTTCCTGAAGTAGTCTTCATAAACAGTTCTCCAGGCTTCTTGGAGGAAATTCCATTTTATTAATGTTGAGGTCCTGGTTCTAGGGAGGCCAATCCATGACTGCTTGTGTTCCACCATGTGTTTTTCTAAAAATGCATGCTTTTATTGCATTGTCAGTGTTTTCGGGATCATTGCCATACTGAAAAATTAAGCCATCACCAAATAAATGGCCTGCCAGATGGTATTGCAATCAAATCTGACAGTGCATTTTTATGTACATAGTTTCATCAATTTTGACAAGATTCCCAACACCACCGGCTGAAATGCTCAAACTAGGACAGAACCTTTACTGTGATTTACAGATGGCTATAGACACTTACTGTACCCCTCTGCCAACTTCCTCTGAACATACTGATTTAAATTAAAAATTTCATTTTGGATTTATGATACCATAAGACCTGTCCCACTGATTTTCCGTTCAGTTTTTGTGGACTGTGGTATAGCTTAGCCTTTTCTCCTGGTTTCCCTCTCTTAAGAATGACTTCTTTATAGCTACGCTTCCACTGAGACTATTTGTAATAAGGCTTCAGTGAACAGTAGATAAATCAAATGCAGGTCCAGATACATCTCTCAAGTCCTGTGTCAAGTGTGTGTGGTTTTTTTTAAATGCGGAGTGGCTCAAAACTTTTGCACAGTATGGTATTTTTTAAAGAAATTATAAAAATATAGAGAACCTGCACAGGAAACGGTCACATGGCTGTACCTTCAAGTATTTTTTATAGTTGTTGTATACGACAGCCAGGAAGACGGACATGAAGATGTAAGTGTTGATAAGGATGTACACAATGAAGAAGACTGCGAAGAAGAAGTTGGCGTTGTATGCTGGCATCCTGACAATAACAAGCAGAAAAAAAGAAGTCAGGCTAAGATACAAAGACAAATAGATACTAATAGAAAGATACTAGATACTAGAAGAAGAAAAACGGTTAGTGTTCACTTCCTTCTTCTTTTCTGTAAAGCTCAGAGAGTTCCCTCTCAAACCAAGAGGTCAGCGCCAGAAAGAAACACAAGAGTTTGTGTGGTTTGAAGTGCTATCTAAATAACAACACTACTTTTACTTCACAAACAGTTTCAAAATACATTATGTCAAATACACTAATTAAAAATCTGAGAATTAGGATTATAACTGAGTTTGGCTGAATTGTGTTATTCATGTCGTCTCCTTGCTGTTCAGACATCACGCCTTATTGATCATATAAACAATTCCAGTATTCAAGGAATACATGCACAACATTGAATGCAACACAAATTACATTCAGTGGGTTTCATCTGAACAAAAATTTTAACAGAAATGAGAAAATCTGCTAATTTTTTTTAATCAACTGTCCTTTTTCAAATATTAATAGTTGGTTCATCTCGCCCTATGACAGCTGGGATGGAATAGTTGGTTCAACGAGATAAGCACTATTAACAACAGTGCTGTTTCTTTCTTTCAGTCAGAGCCACTGAATGATGTATAAGATGATGTGAAGATGTCCAATTTAGATTAAAAGGACAGATCTGGATAAAAATGTGACATTTATGCCAGTTTTATATGTACAGTATGTGAGATAAAGTGCATCTTAATTGCTCTCCAAATATTTAATCATCTATCATTAATCTGTGAATCTATTTTCATCCATGTTTCATAGTCATCTTTGTCTACTTGATTTTGTTGATTGTTTGACAAAATGCACATAAAACTAAAGTGGAATGAACCAACACTACATTCCATTTTGCAATCACACGCAAAATCTGACTTCCACGTATTTTCACAAACTGAATCATCTCAAAGTAAATACTATATAAAGTAACGTCATGCAAACACAATCAGGGATTTAACGTACTTTAGAAAAAGGCATGCTTCATGAAGACTGAAATAATTGTAAATTGCTTGATCTCAAAGAACACAAATTGAGATTTACAATACAAACTTACATGACGTCAGGGCTATTGGCCGTGGTGACGAGGACGTACAAGTCAAACATGATTTCCAGGTAGCTGGTGAAATATGGTGTTCCATTTATGTTCGTCAAACCTCTAGAGAGAGAGAGAGAAAAAATACATACACTTAAAAACTATTGCTAAAACTCAAAAAAGTCCTCTACTTTTTCACTAAAAACAAAACAAAGCAAAAAAACAGAACACATGGCCTCAGTAGAGCCTTTGGGAAAATGTTGACCATTGTCTAACTGCGCCAGGTGGTGTGGCTCTTTGACTGACCAGGAGAACATGTTTGTAAATGTTGCATAAGCTTAAAATCTTTGCTTATTTATATGGATGACATAGCTGGGTGTTTGCACAATTGCCTGTGCAAGCTCATGTTATAAATTACAATTTCACTGGTTGCATCATGCAAGATTTTATTACATAGAGAAAGAAAGAAATCCAGGTAATATATTTGGATTGGATCTCAGATCTTTACATGTATTCAGCTTGTTACAAAATGTCAGAGAATGACCCAGCAAGTCTGTCAAATCTGTTGTCTGTATGCTGCTTACTATTGTCCCTTTTACTCTCATTATTCCAGGCTTCTCACTACACTGCCTGAAAGCTATCATCTGTTACCTACCTGCCCATTATTCGTGTAGAGCGCTTTAGCTTTTGCAGGAAGTGTTTTCAAGTTGCATGGGTCTCAAAGACTCCCAAGTTATATGCAATGTAAATACAGCCTTTTAAAAGATAATAAACAGGCCAAAAAGATGTCACATATATGGAATGAAATAACTTGAATGATTCTAACTGAAAACAAGTTTAAAGAGAATTTGAAAACTGATGTCAAGAGCCAACCTCAGAATACAAAGGTACAGCTTTCTCACCGTTTGCCCAGCAACTTCAGCGCCATGAGGGCGAAGATGAGGATACTGAACATGAAGAGCAGGAAGACGTAGAAAATCTGAGGCAGAGCATTACGGATGCTCCTGAATGCTCTGCGGAGCTGAACACAAAGGAGCACACAGTGACACAGTTTTACATGCAAAAGCTCTTTCCTTATACACTTATCAACAATGTTTTCAAGTACCATTGGCTCGTGAAGTCAAACATTTACATGTTTAACAACATTATGTCTGCCTCAAACACTCCACAAATTCCTAACAGAGAAAAACTAAACATGATCCATTGATCAAACGGCAGAAAATTCATGACAGACAAAACACCACTTTGAGAGCCTTGATCACGTGAACACAAACAAATGCTCAAACTCTGACCAGATGTGAAAACATTTTCAAGTATGACTTAAACTGAATTTAGGACCAAAGCTTTCTACATGTCTGCAAACCACGAGTCACTTGGATTTCTGGGCAATTTGTCATTTACAACATACATGCATAAAACTTCTGTATGAGCCTAATCACCTCCAGGGCTGAGACTGGGAAAAAAACATGCCAAAAAATGTAGTGGTTAGTACTGTTGACACAGCAAGATGGTTCTTGGTTCTACCACTACTATGTTAGGTTAACTGGTGATTCTAAACTGGCCATGGATGTGAGATAGATAGTGTTTGAAGTACATCGAATAAAATATGCCTATCGAGCGGACAAGCATAGCAGCTGTAATGGTCCACTTGTGAAAATAGATTTGTTGGAGATTTTGTTTGACAACAAATCTGACTGCTGCACTGCCGGACAGGACAGGCAAAAAATAAAATAAATAAGTTAATTGTATAAATAATAGAAGTTAGTTTAATAAGACCTAAAAATTCGTTAAATAGAGCCATCTTGTGATGTCTCTGAAATATTTCTTACAGCCAAATCATTAATAATCCCCACAAACACATTATATTTGGTGTCAAAAAACACTGAGCTAATGAAGACGTCATATTTTGAGAATGAACTCCTAACGGGGATGATTTCTTCTTTAACATGTATTCTGATATATGTTATTTCTCTTAGTTTTCTTAGTAATTTCTCCTAATCTTCACTGTAGTACACAAAGTTTCTGAGTTTAACCCTAGGAATGTAATCATAGAAAGAAGACACCGAGACAGTCTATAGTAGAGCCATGAAAAATGTAACCAATGACCTACATTTGACTACAGTGCTTATCCTCACTTTACTTTTAGTGCTTCAAGCCTTCCCATATCAGTTCAGCAGAGCTAGTTCTCTCTAAAGGTGGTGCTCATTACAACTGAAATGGATCATCCTCTGGAGAGGATTTAATGAGGAAAAAAACGGAAAAAAATTGAAATGTTCATGGTAATGAAGCTTTCATTACTGACTGTGGATTGTTTAAACATTCAGCCATTACCTGCCGTCCCTCTGTGACGTTGACCAGTAGAAGCGGCCGCAGGACTCTGGACCAGCGAACACCATAATAATTTGCAGCTTTCAATGCTCCATAAATGATCATATCAACCAAAGTGAGCTAGTCAATGCACAAAAGAACAAAGTCATTTAATGGTAAATGGTAAACAGACTGGTTCTTATTGAGTGCTTTTCTACTCTGAGCAATCAAAGCATTTCATACAACTTGCCTCGTTCACCCAGTCGCACAAGCACTTTTTTCTATGCAAGTGCTTCTAACATTCACACACATTGAAAGAATACCAGCTTCAATGCTAGTATTTACTATCTATTTGCATTTCAAAGAGTCAGATGCAGTTCAAGATGCATATGTCAATACTTAAAGTGTTTCCATGACCAAACTAGCTAGATAAGAATAAACAGGATTATTCTAAAATGAAATTATTTGAGCAGTAGTAGAAGGACAGTCTTCTTTGAAATGAAAATGATTTCATATATAATACAAACAAAATAACAACTTATTCCAAATATTCCAGAAAATAAAAAGTTGTGCAAGAAAATTTGTGACTGAGAGCCTCAGAATCACTGAGTCACAAGGAAGCTTTACTACTTTGGTAGTGCTGAGAAAGCAACATCTTAGGCTAAAGGTTGTTTCACAACAAGAGGAAAGCCTTCTCAGCACATCCTGTCTCTGCAGCTCAGCACACGTTAACAGTTTCAGCTTTCAGACCCTAAACCAGGAAGTCCTCTGGGTGCACACTGCACACTCACCAACTGACAGGAATGTATAACCTCTTCCTAAGTACTTAGTCAAAAACATCTTTACAATGACTTGTTCTGGTTCTGTCTGAGTTAGAGGAGCCTTCTTCCAAAATCTTCCAATTAAAAATACATATATACTAATAATGTGTATAAACCCCTCCCCACAATAATAATGCAGATTGGCACTCCTACCGTGAGGATGACAATGATGCAGATATTTTTGGGATCTTTCCAGAACTTGTCACGGAGAATCACCTTGGCATAGTGAATGACTCGAATGGTGAAGATGAGCAGACAGAGTATCTCCACCAGCATGGTGGCCTGAAAAACAACATAACACAACACATGACCATACTTCTGATAATAATTTAACTTCTTGGACTTCACAGCAGCTAGTCTATTTCACTGATCTCAGCTGCACTACTGTAATTGCTGTATAGACCATCATACTGTACAATACAATAATTATAGTTTTCCAACTGTTTATTAATACTTGCAATTATATATCTACAACCTGTATAGTTTTCATATTTTTAAACATATGCATAACCTGTTCATAGCCTGCGCATACTTATAGTATATTCATAACATTCCTTCATACCTTGTACATGTAACATACTATAATAGATCCAAATTCTGTATTATATATTATTACTAAAGCACTTTCTGGATGGATGCAAACGGCATTTCGTTGCCATGTACTTGTGACATGTGCAATGACAATAAAGTTGAATTTTATTCTATTGTATTCTATTCTTCAGGACTGGTAAAATGTTGAATGGCCTGAAAATCTATTCAGTCTTTTTATAATAAAATGCTGAGGTGTAGACAGTAATTAGTATTTCTATTCATACAAGCCACAGAAGATTACATTAGAGTCAGTCAAAGTTAATGGTGTTATTAATTACTTTTACATTACCAGCTATTACTGAACTCCAATTTGGAATTTCAATGATTGCACATTTTACATATAGGTCAAGGGTCAAGTTCAAGGTCAAGTTCATTTATATAGCACATTTCCAAACCGTCCATACTGCACAAAGTGCATAACCATGTAAAATGCCACTGAAACAAATAAGATGTAAAACAATGATGCAGTAAAATATGGAAAAAATAAATAAAGTAAATCAATAAAAACAACTAAAACAACAACTAAGGCTGTTACAACCAAAATGTTTAGGTCAAAGTTTGTTAAAAGCCAGACGATAAAAATGTGTCTTCGGTAACGATTTAAACTGATCACGTGTTTGTGCAGATCTAATGCGGGATCTGCCACAGAGAAGGCTCAGTCGCCATGAGACTGATATAGAAAGACATAGAAAGACTGTAGCTACATCAAAATATAATATATACCCTAATACCACTATCTCCCAGTTTCATAAAAACTATAGCGGTGTGTAGTTGGTAACAAATTACTGCTGATAGAAAAGCAGCTTATTTTAAGTGATTAGAACATTATACTAGAACTAAACATCTTGAGCTGCTGCGTCTCAATCATTATCAAAGATCAGACATATGATAGTGTCTCCATAATATACCTCATCCATCCAAGCGTATTGACTGTACTTGACTGTAACTCTTGTTGTGCTTTAGACACCTGTTGTGAGCTCGCCGTTCACTCTAGCCAGAACCAGCAGCAGTAAGGCTCACCAAGACTGGGGAGCAGACCAAGAAATACAATTGCCAGGTGCAGTCCAAAATGTTGGAGTTGAAGTCTGTCAAGCTCTGGGAGAAGTCTATTTATATAAAAATGGAAGAGGAATTATTGCTAATTCGCATTGTCAAGGAGTGAAGCCAAAAAAGGTGGCAGTAGATAAACCGTTACTCAAAAAGCCATCTCTAGACCCAGCAGTTTTAGCTAATTATAGGCCAATCTCAACCTTCCTTTCATATCAAACATCCTTGAAAGAGTAGTTGTCAAACAGCTAACAGATCATCTGCAGAGGAATGGCTTATTTGAAGAGTTTCAGTCAGGTTTCAGAGCTCATCACAGCACAGAAACAGCTTTAGTGAAGGTTACAAATGATCTTCTTATGGCCTCTGACAGTGGACTCATCTCTGTGCTTGTCCTGCTAGACCTCAGTGCAGCGTTCGATACTGTCGACCATAATATCCTATTAGAGCGATTAGAGCACGCTGTAGGTATTACAGGTACTGCTCTGCATTGTTTTGTATCATATCTAACTAATAGACTTCACACATTTTAATGCTTTGCAGATAACACACAGCTTTATCCATCCATGATACCAGATCTCACACACCAATTAGTTAAACTGCAGGAATGTCTTACTCCCGGAAAAGCCTTCAGCTAATCCAAAATGCTGCAGCAAGAGTCCTGACAGGGACTAGAAAGAGAGAGCAGATTTCCCCTCTATTGGCTTCTATTGCATTTAATATTTCTTCTTCAGTCACCTTTCTCACTCACTATGTGTTAACAGACCTCTCTGCATTGAATCATACTCGTTATTAGTCTCTGTCTCTCTTCCACAGCATGTCTTCATCCTGTCTTCCTTCTCTCACCCCAACCGGTCGCAGCAGATGGCCCCGCCCCTCCCTGAGCCTGGTTCTGCTGGAGGTTTCTTCCTGTTAAAAGGGAGTTTTTCCTTCCCACTGTTACCAAAGTGTTTGCTCATAGGGGGTCATATGATTGTTGGGTTTTTCTCTGTATGTATTATTGTAGGGTCTACCTTACAATAAAAAGTGCCTTGAAAAAACTAACAAACAAACTAGTAAGAAAGTATGCTAGTTGTTTATTTAAACTGCTATATTTCACTTTTTTGCATTCATTAATTTTGCTACATACTTGCTAAATTTAACATCTGTATAAGTTTAATTACTAGTCAGCCTTTAAACCAAAATGAAACTTAGATTTACAAGAGCCCTCAGAACATCACTTAGTTAGTACTTAGTTTATATCAGAATAACTCTTATAGTGTTTTTTTCATAGACTCTGCTTCAATCAGCATGACAGAGGCTCAGATATTTCAGATATATCAGTTCCAATACTGTCTGCATCTCTGAATTTTTCAAAAAGCACTTACGATTGTTTGGACATTTGGCGCTGCTGACAAACCTTTTATTCCTCTCAGCACCCTTAGCCTGCACATTAAAAAACAGGACAGTGTCTCTGTGTGGCAGTTGCAGTCTTACCCATATAGGCAGAGGGTATACAGCTGGATCCTCGAAGATGGCAAGAGACAGATTGACCAGCATGAAGAAGTAGAGGAGTACCTTTAGGGCCCAATGATTATAGAGCATATACAGTCTGAAAATCCACACACAAAGTTGGATATTAGAGCAACTCACACTCATTATTCAATCCAAACTGCATGCTATAACTTAAAGTCCTCACATCCAAATGCATTTCACATTAGGGGGAAGTCATTTCACATCCCTCATAGTTTGCCATAGCAGATTGACTAATAAACAGGAGAAAATGTTGCATTTGCTGGGACAATATATTCTACATGAAAAATTATCCATTCAACAATGTTGATTTAAAGCTGTTATAAAGACTAATATGTATTTATTAAAAGTGAAATATAAAGTTATGACACCTTACAGTAAATATACAGAATAAAAAAAATACCAACCAGTCAGCACAGGCAAAGAAAGTCATCGTAAACAGAGCTAAAAGAAACTGTTCTAGTCTGACATGTTCAAACTGCTGGTCAAAAATTAAGAGGAGACGGAGAGGAGTGAAACATCTTCCAGGCTGAACAGATTAAATATACGTGTGTACAGAAATCAGCACAACAGAAATACAGCAGAGACAGACAAAATAATTATAGAATTTCCACATATTAAATATGGATGGATGGATGTGAAAGCCGCACCTGACAGCCTGAGGTGATGTGTCAAAGTAGACATTTCTGTTGTACTGGGCATCTGACACATAGATGGCAGCCAAGTTAAAATCCTGAAACACACAGAAGGGCATTTAAAGCATTTAAATATTACTCTCAATATAAGAAGATCTGCAAAATAAAAGGTATTTAACGCTGAAAAATTAACAAAAATTAAAACAAATCTACTATCTGATTGTCTTTTTTAGTTACATATAGTTGTTTGTTTCCTTAATTCTCACATTTCCTTTGTCTGTTAGTGGATTGTTTTTTGTTTTTTCGGCCGGCTTGTGCGATACATATATGAATGGTATGAGATCAAGTGTAAACCATCATTATGGTATTATCCATAGGCACACTGGCTAAGGTACAGCATGAATTACAACAGCCTTACCTAAGCCATTTCTCTGTGTGAGATACAGCAGGCAAAATCAGTTTTGACCATGTGACAAACTGTTGCTATTGATAAGAAATTCTCACCAGAGAAACCATCCAATCCACACATGCAAAGAAATCAAAGCACAGATCCCGATAAATTATGTGTAATATAAGAAATGATACAGAAAACATACTGAACACACTAAGAAAGGGGTGTACAAAAAGGCATGGAAAGTCATGACACCAGCTGAATAATATCAGTAAGCAGTCCTGCCACTTGGTTCAAATTGATGTTGGTTCATTCAAACTGATGGCCTATAAAAACATGTCTTATAAGAAACATGGGTAAAACCAATGAGGACTCTCAAGACCTTTGAAGCCTTATTGTTGCAAAACATACTGAAAGCATTGGTTACAGAAGAATTTACAGAAGAAACTACTGAAGGTTCCAGTGAGCACTTTTGAAGCCAATATCCGGAAGTTGAAAGAACATTATTTCACCATAAACCGGCCACGACCAGGTGCTCACTGCAAGATTTCAGACAGAGAAACAAAGGCAAATGATAGTATGCATGTTCAATACATTTTCCACTCTGTCATTTCTCATTATTACACATAATTTATGGTAATCTGTGGTTAGATTTCTTTACATGTGTAGACCGAACTGGTTGTTATTGGCATCTGGTGAGAATTTTACATCAAAAGCACCTTTAGAAATATATTTACTTAGAAAATTGGTGGCACGTTCAATACTTATTTTACCCACTGTAATTATCAGCAGCTTCACCGAAAGGTTGAGGAAATGAAAACAACTTGCAGAAGCACAGACTCAGGGTCAGCAGTGACCTGCTAGACAGAACCTCAGTGATGGATCCTTGGTTCAGGGCCAATATACATCCCAAGCACCAAAAGACTAGTGCACTTAAACACAAAACTGTGTTTGAGGTCAAGTCTATGCTGTCTGATTAATTGGTGACCACAGTGCATGAGCCTGAAGGCTAGCAAAGAATAGTGCAACTGGTAAGAATCACTGGCAAGCAGGTCCTGAGCTGTGACGAGAGAGTTTTAAGGTGATTTACAGTGATTTAATATAGAAGGCAGTTCACTCAAATAGTGGAAGGAACATATAGATTGTTTGTTTCAAGCATTGAACCATCTGTCAAAAATGGTCCGTGAAAAAAAAGGGTCCCCTTTTTTTTTTTGTTTTTTAAACAGTCGTCCAAAGCTATCGAATAAAATCTATTTTATTTGTCAATGATTCACTTAATGCACAATAAATTCATCTTTAACAGAGAACTAACTAGGGAAGTTGGAAGCTGTATACTAGTGATGGGTGCTTTATGGGGCTTAAAGGACAAGAGTCCAACAGTTTACTGCAGTCGTGGAATCATTTGCACGTTCTCCAGGCCATCCGCTGACAGAAAACCTGCACAATCACATTATAATCACTTGTAGTTGTGCAGGAGCGTCCAGTTGTGTCATACCTCTTCGCTTTTTGCTGTATTCCCTGTGTTTGAATTTCCTTTTCTTGCAGACGCTTCGGGAATGTTTTCATTCTTCTCTGATTCAGACATCTCTCAACACGACCGACACAAAACGTCCCAAAATGTTTCTTCTAACTTTTTAATGACTCTCGAAATGTCTCCAAACTTTCACTACCAGCTCCTCGGCGTTTCTAAGTGGTGAAAAAAAGAAAAACATATATCCAAACTTAGTTTAAGTCGCACTTTTTGACGTAAACGTCACATCAAGCGTCATCCACGAGATACGCATCAGAGGATTTCTTTCCAGTGGCATAAAAATGACAACCGCTTGCCATCTATCTCAGCCTACTGATATCTGGTCAGAGCCGCTTCAAGTCTTGCTCCAATAAACCACGACTCTTGCTGACTTCACGGACCAGCGGAATGAATAAGGAGGAAAAAATACAGTGATGTGTAAAACAGGCTGATTACCATTAAACAAAGCAACAACAAACTATCTCATATTCCCTAATAACGAAGTTGCAGATAGCGAGTAAGTAATAGACTTACAAAACGCAAAATGTTACGTTTTAACCAGATTTAGAGTAGTTGACCAAATGTCTCAATGAAAATCAACAATAAATGCATAAAAGGTTGAAGATTTTTTTTAAACTTTGAATAAATAAGTAAAAGGAAAAATCCTATTTTCGTAGCATTGTTGCTACATGTCATTGTTACATGTCCCTTTTTATTCTTGTCCAATTAACCTCTACAATTTAATTTGTTCTATACTTATTCCTTTGTAGTGGTTTCTATAAAAGAATTATTTTTGGTGCTTTTTTCTTTTATGCCCACCGTTTTCACTGTTGAACTCGTATTACTATGCTGTTGTATTTTTCAGACATTACTCGGAGACAGTAAAAGCACCATGTGGTATCATGTGACTCAGCACGATAACGGAAACTGGGAGAAAGAGTCAGAGGCATTTCAAATAGTGGGAAAATTAGGAGAATATACAGAAATACAAGTTTTTGCGTTATTGTAGGGTCTTCATCCTACAATATAACGTAAGAAAACGTTTTTTTGAACATGCAATTTATTGAAAACAATGCTTAAACTGAAACAGGCTGTTTTACAGATGATCAAAATCTTAGAACCACATGCCTTTAAAATGCCAATTCTGTGCAAAAATGTGGTTTCGTTGTCATTTTCTGTCAGGTAGTCTCACTGTCATAACTTTCTGATGGCAAAGGCAAAAAAAAAAGTTCCCTTTTTGAACGTGGTTGGGTTGTTGAACTGCATAAGCACGGTCTCTTGCAGCGTCGCTGCTGAGGTGGGATACAGTAAGACAGTCATTTGGAATTTCTTAAATGATCCTGAGTGATTTTGTTTTATCCAAATAAAATTGAATTCAATTCAATAAATTAATGATTAATTAATTAAAGAGCAGTGACCTTTTTTATGTTTTTAGGAGTGAAGCTTTGTGGATGATCCTTAAGCCTGTTAGCTCATTTCTGCCATTTGTAGTTGAGATGTCATTCTTTCAGTTCATTTTTCAGAGCTTGTGACCACAGGTGATGGTAGATCGATCTGTAAATCGTCAGCTTCCACGCTGAGCTCTCCCTTCATCATAGCAGATGTGTACAGAATCCACATCACAACTAGTATGGTGAAATACTAGTTGTCTCTCAATCTTTAGCTCTTCCTCCTGAGACAGTAACTTGCTCCTGTTGTTCCTCCTTCAGCCCAAAGATCAAAGAGTTGGGGTATTTAACACCCCTAAGTGGGTACTCCATCTTTCCCCAACTGAAGAGCATGGCCTCAGATTTTGAGTTGTTAATTTTCATCCCAGTCACTTCACACGTGTTGCAAACTGCCCCAGTGTGAGCTGGATGTTGTTGATGAAGCTAAAAAAAAAAAGATACATCATCCATAAAAAGCTGAGATGAGATCCTGCAACCACCAAACCAGACACTCTTCACCACTTGGCTGCAACTGACCAAAGACGAGAGATGGTTATTTTATACATTTATTTTTTCCAAATAACTGCACTAACAGTTATCACCTAGGTTCTTGCTGATGATCTTGGAGCCCATTCCAGCATGGAGCAAGTCTTCAATTATGTCCCTTCAATCAACAGCTCTTTGGTCCTGCCCATGGTGGTGAGGTGGTTGGAGCAGCAGATATCAATTCAGTGGACATGTGTGCATTATACACAAACGCTGAAATCAAAAGTATCTGTAATTGACTGATTGTAGTCAACCTGTACGAATTCTGGCTGGGTTGTAGGGGAACAGATTCCTATTTCACTCAATGACATACAAAACAACCTTTTAATGTATTTTTTAAGATTGTTTTTGTTGATGTCTCTCTCAATTAAAATGAAGCTACCATAAAATTTATTGCTGTTCATTTTTTGTGAGCAAATTTTAAATTTCTTCAGGGGATCAAATAATTATTCCCCTGACTGGACCACCGGCTTGACATACTCAGTAAGCAAGAAACTTAAGGTAAGGGGAGATTCCAACAGATTTATTTGATATGGATATGAAAACAATCACATTTAATGAAACAATGTTTTTTTCTTAATGACAAGAAACAAATCATTTTGGATACATTTTTAACACAGTATTAATACTGTGGTTTTAAGTGTCTGCCCCAGTTGAAATAAAATTTGACTATTTGTGCTTTAGGTTAAGATAATTCTTGTTAGCAGCACTGACATCTATAATTTTAGGTGTTTAAACTGAATTGGTTAACATGAAGAAATAAATACAATCTCCCAACAATACACTGTGAAGCTGAGTAAGTCCACCCTTTAAATCAACATAAAAAAAGTCTTAATCACGACATTTATTTTATTGAAATATACATTTCCATGTTTTTATTTACTTTAAATCACAACTTGAAACATCAATTTATTTTTAACTAACTCAAGAAAAGTGTCAAACTGTCCAACAAAACTGATTTTTTACAGCAATCATTTCAAACTTGACATTCTCAAGTGGATGTGGATGGATGTGGATAGAGTACAGTCTTTATCAGTTAATGTGGGGCACAGTCGTCTGGAGGCTGATTTCTATCCTTCCATCATTCCAGGGACTTAAATAAAAATCAGTCTGGTCTCCCTTCAACAGTTTTCTTTTTGACTGCAACCTCAGAGCGCACCACACTCTTCATAGTTCTCTGCATTATCCATGTAGCCAGGTGGATAGTCACAAAGGCACCAGAGACGGCCCACAGCCAGTTCCTTCTGAGCCAGCTCTGAGGTTTCATGGTGACACCACTGCAGGGGAAGAAGAAAAACAGTATTTACTCACAAACACTTGGTATACAGAAAAACATGGCAGGGAAGCCAAATAAAATTGACCATTTTCACAGTTATTGGGAGGAAGAGTTTGTTTTTAATCACAGGTAAACAAAGGGTGTATGTCTCACTTGCTGCGGCACTGGGAAACTGAACCATCTGAACTGTGAGCTGCAAGGAAAAGGTAAGACTGCTGCTGACATGATAAATGCATTTAAAGCCACGATGAGAAAAAAGCCCTGCACTTTCCCTCCAAACAGCCACTTTGTTCTCACTGTTTCGATGATATCACATGTTTTAACGACAGTCCAGCCATACTACAAGTGTGATGACTGCAAAGTGGGGTGTACAAATACAGCTGCTCTGTGACGGCCTCAGAGGTTGTTTAAGAGAATATTGGGAGCAACAACACCATGAAGTCCAAAGAACACACCAGACAGGTCAGGGATAAAGGTATTCAGAAATTTAAAGGAGGCTTAGGCTACAAAAAGATTTCCCAAGCACTGTTCAAGCGATCATTCAGAAATGGAAGGAGTATGGCACAACTGTAAACCTACCAAGACAAGGCCGTCCACCTAAACTCACAGGCCGAACAAGGAGAGCGCTGATCAGAAATGCAGCCAAGAGGCCTGTGGTGACTCTAGACGAGCTGCAGAGATCTACAGCTCAGGTGAGGAATTCTGTCCATAGGACAACTATTAGTCGTGCACTGCACAAAGTTGGTCTTTATGGAAGAGTGGCAAGAAGAAAGCCATTGTTAACAGAAAACCATAAGAAGTGCCGTTTGCAGTTTGCCACAAGCCATGTGGGGGACACAGCAAACATGTGGAAGAAGGTGCTCTGGTCAGATGAGACCAACATGGAACTTTTTGGCCAAAATGCAAAACGCTATGTGTGGCGGAAAACTAACACTGCACATCACTCTGAACACACCATCCCCACTGTCAGATATGGTGGTGGCAGCATCATGCTCTGGGGGTGCTTCTCTTCAGCAGGGACAGGAAGCTGGTCAGAGTTGGTTCACCTTCCAGCAGGACAACGACCCTGAACATAAAGCCAGGGCAACAATGGAATGGTTTAAAACAAAACATATCCATGTGTTAGAATGGCCCAGTCAAAGTCCAGATCTAAATCCAATCGAGAATCTGTGGCAAGATCTGAAAACTGCTGTTCACAAACGCTGTCCATCTAATCTGACTGAGCTGGAGCTGTTTTGCAAAGAAGAATGGGCAAAGATTTCAGTCTCTAGATGTGCAAAGCTGGTAGAGACAGACCCTAAAACACTGGCAGCTGTAATTGCAGCAAAAGGTGGTTCTACAAAATATTGACTCAGGGGGCTGAATAATTACGCACACCCCACTTTTCAGTTATTTATTTGTAAAAAATGTTTGGAATCATGTATGATTTTCGTTCCACTTCTCACGTGTGCACCACTTTGTGTTGGTCTTTCACGTGGAATTCCAATAACATTGATTCATGTTTGTGGCTGTAATGTGACAAAATGTGGAAAAGTTCAAGGGGGCCGAATACTTTTGCAAGCCACTGTAACTCTGACACTCATTCTATTTCAATTGATTACATATCAGATGTTTCTAAAAATTGACTGCAGTCCACCTGTGATAAATTCAGTTGATTGGACATGACTGGGAAAGGCACACACTTGTCTATATAAGGTCCCATATGTAACAGTGCACACTGGCGCACAAACCAAGCCGTAAAGTCCAAGGAATTGTCTGTAGACCTCTGAGACAGGATTGTATCGAGGCGCAGATCTGAGGAAAGGTATAGAAAAATTTCTGCATCTGCAAAGGTACTTATATAGATAGCTTGGCTAAGTACTTGCTCAAAGGAGGTCATTTGCTTTATCAGTATTACTGTAGGATATTGCCGAGTTGTTGTAGGTTAGATTTGGTGCCATATAAATACAATTAAATAGAATGTTACATTATCTTGATAGTTTTCATTCTTGAATATCTTCACCTGTTAAATTATAAAAAAAAATCTCTAAGTTTTGAAAATATAAAATAGATGGATAAAACTTTACACTTTGACCACTCAGACCAAAAAATCTATTCCC